GTAAGCCTTCGAATGCCGATATCGTGGCGTTATTAGAACTAGAAGGATTTTTTTTCTCTCTCTCTTTTACACCAGTTTCAATATTTGTTTATTTATTAATCATCCTCAGAGTTAACGGAGCAATAAACACGTTTGTTGATATACAAATAGATGAGAATGTGTACTAATGAGCTCGAAAACTTGAACCGATATTGGAGACGGATTTTTTAAAAGACTTCCAAGATCCCACGAGATGAAAAGCTCTCAAGTCAAAAACGGCAAATGATCGTTGAAGTCAATGAGATGTCTTTTTCGGTCTTATTTTTCGTTTTTTATTATATCTTAATTCACAGGTTTTAATTATTTCGTTCCTCCAAATTAAGTCAGCAAATAGATGGTTATTAAAACTGATGTTGTTTTGAGGCAAAACACGAATACGAATACGTTTCGAGTCGATACTTCAAAAGGGTCGCGTAAAAGACAACATTAAGTCAATATCCTTATTCTATAGACTGCTATGACGCAACCATAATAATAAAAAATATATATATATATGACTATCTCAGCATTTCACTAAAAGAAAAAGTTACTTTAATTCAAAACCAGGACAGTTAATAAACATATCGCATTTCCACATCGGATACGCAACCTGGTTTTAAAGGATCTCAAGAGTTCTTCTCCCGGGCAGAGAGCCTCGTGAATGTCAAGATGGCGGCCTCACCTTTGGCCCGAGTAAAAGAGGGAGAGATAAAGACACGTGGGGAGAGGAGGGGGAGGGGGGAGAAAGAAGAAAGAGAGGAAAGAGGGAGAGATAAAGGCACGTGAGGAGAGAAGGAGGGGGGAGAGAGAGAAGGACGTGGAGGGGAGGGGGGAGGTGGAGGGGGGGAGAGGAGGTGGAGGGGGGGGGGAGAAGGAGGTGGAGGGGGGGAGAAAGAAGAAAGAGAGGAAAGAGGGGAAGAGAAAATAGGGAAGGGAGAGAGGGGAAGGGAGAGGAGGGAAGAGAGGAAAGGAGAAGGGAAAGGAAGAGAGAGATGAAATTGAAGGATGAGGAGAGGGAGGAAGGAGGAAAAGAAGGGAAGAGAAAGGAGTAAGGGAAGGAAAAAGAGAATGGAGAAGAGAAAAAGGAAAGGAAGGGAGAGGAGGTAGGGGTGAAGGGGAAAGGAAAGAAGGGAAGAAGAGAAAGGGAAGGAATAAGAGAGAGGGAAAGGGGAGAAAGAAAAGATGGAGAGGGAGAGGGGAAGGGTAAAGAGAAAGAGGAGAAAGGAGAGAGGGAAGTAAAAAAGGAAAAGAGGGGAGAGGAAGGAAAAAGGGGTGATAGAAGAAAGAGGGAAGAAGGAAGAAGGAAGGGAATAGAAAAGAGGTAAGTGGGGAGAGGGGAGATGAGAAGGAAGTGATTGGGAGATAGGAGGAGAGAGATGAGAGACAAGGCAGGGAGAGGGGGGAGGGGGCAATGTGGCACAGTGCCAGAATCTAACAGGTCGGGCGGAGGTGCGGAGATAAGAGACAAATATAGTGCCACTCATTTCGGGGCTGGAAATTATATATATTTCGAATCTTACACTAATTTCTCTAATATACGTAAAAAAAAACAACAACATTATAGATACTGTAAAAGAAATCACTGTAGCTGCCTACTTAATTCAAATAACAGTTCAGCAATCACGATATTAGGAATGATACTGATAATTATGACAGCATGATTATAATGATGATGATGATAAGACTGAGAATGACTGTGTATTCGTATGTATGTATGTACGTGTTAATCTTTGTTTGCGTGAATGTGTAGTCTCGTATGTATATGTCTGTGTGTACACGCGCGCGCGCGCTTGTGTGTGTGTGTGTGTGTGTGTGTGTGTGTATGTGTGTGTGTGTGTATGTGTGTGTGTGTACGTGGAAGATAGAGAAAAAAGTGTGTTAATTCATTATTTATATGTTTATAAGTGCGTGTATATATGAAAATGCGTGTACGTGACTGTATGTATACGTACGCTATCACAGGCATACGTTAATAATCCTATTGTTCCCTGCTATTTAAAACCGGCCTGTGATAATAATTAATGCCGTTTTCTATTGTTAATGGATGCATAAATGACCAACGCCATAGTTTTTTATAATTAGATTTAGAATCATAATCCGTACAGCCAGCTAATTCGTTTTGCTGCAGGAAGGCACTTTGTATTTGGTATTTTATTAGGTTCTGTTAATATTTTTGTTATCATTATTTTTTTTTTGTTTTGTTTTTGTTTTTAGTGTTATTATCATTGTTGTCATTATTATCAATATCAATTTAACTCTTGTCTCTATGTATCTTTGTCTGTCTCTCTCTGTCTGTCAGCCTGCCTCTCATTTTTTCTCGTCTCTCTTTCTCTCTCTCTCTCTCTCTCTCTCTCTCTCTCTCTCTCTCTCTCTCTCTCTCTCTCTCTCTCTCTCTCTCTCTCTCTCTCTCTCTCTCTCTCTCTCTCTCTCTCTCTCTTCTAACACACACATACAGCCTTAGGAGACTAACGAAAATAGCAAA